ATTTGGTTACAGATACCATAATTTACTTTCAATGTATAAATTCTGAAAACTGTAATCGGATTTAAAAGAAAGGTATATGTTCAATAACATAATTTCTTTAAAAAAGAAATCGATTACCAAAACCTGCCAAGATTTCAATGGCCTTCCGTAGGACTCTGTATAAAAGATAATAATAAAAAACTCTTAAAAAGTTCCCTAGAATTTAGAATTAATAAATCCATCGACTCTTCGAGCTTTTCAAAGACGATGCATGTACTATTAAGTACTAGCTTTTACCCTGCGACTTCCTTGCTATTATATCAAATTTAACTAACGGTCCAGCAATTTAGCCATCAAATACATTGACAAATGGAGTTACTCTTATATAAACAATTAATATAACACAAATGTTCCTCGGACTGCGATTTCACTCAAGAGTTCGTGTCGATTTTCCTAGAAATTGGCGTCAGCTAAAGAAATTCCAATTGACTTACCAGTAACAAAACCATAAAGGGATGTCGGGAACGTGATCATAATACAACAGTAGGTCACGTTTACCGTGTAATTGATAGCTGTCGGTGATTTGATTGACTGATCTAGCTTCGCTTAATTTTTAACTAGTAAGAACATTGTTTTTATCTGACCTCGTTTCGATGAACTAATTGGAGCTAATTGATGATTTCATTAGCATTGGAAGAAAAAGTTATTAAAATGTTTAACACAGCCAATCAATGGGCGTTAAATTATTTTCGTTTACTGTTTAAATATTTTATATTGATGAAAAAACATCCGTACCATAAAATAGACAAAGATCAAAGTCGTTTAATTTTTTGCCTGTAATTCCTTTAAAAATTGTTTTAACTTGCAAACTATTACGATTATTGTAAAAGTGCTGCATAATTCTATCGGCTATAAAGTTTCATATCTATCAATATTCCCTATAAAAAAAGTAAAATTACGACAAGAAAAAAGTTAAAAAATACAATGCCAATGTTGAACTCTTAAAAATTTGAAGTATTCTACTTTTAAAAATTGAAGTACTTACTAAGGTTATTTCAGTAATTTAGGTGTATACGCCCTCTTAACCGGAAAACGGCACGTGTCACTCTTTTTATAATGAACATAGTATTATGTAAATATTTAACTACGGAAATGATGTAGTAGCTGCCATTGTAATGTAAATCTAACATATATACACAAGTATGACGACCTATACCAGTGTGACCTTGCACCGGATCATTGACTTGCACTGTCTGAATCTATTGATATTGCGTCTTACATGGATAAATCGATATCACGTCAATAAAAGTTTAAGATCTATTGCAAAAATTTGGCTTATTCTAACCTCATGTGCTGGTGTGTACCCATATCTAGGTATATTCCATTGCAAGCTTCATTCTATAATTTCATGTACTGAAACTTCCGAAGCCGAATATTTGGTCGACAACAAACTTTGAAATGTAATTGTATTAAAATAATATTAAAACTGATAATATTAACAAAAGGAGGTTATTTATAGCACGTTTTCCAAGTTAAATCAAATAACAACTAGTCAATTGCTTGGAAGAAGTCTTGACATCAGAGCGCTCCCTTGATCTATTTATTAGGGTTGAGCTACAAACAAACATGCCACCGATCAAAAATAAAAAGTATACAAACTATTTTTTTTTATTATTAACTTTTATTCATATAAAGGTAGAAATTAAAGGCAAAAGATATTTTTTCGTTTAGTAATGCGCATTAAATCTTACTCAGTTGTAAACTTGAGAGAGGGCTAGAGACGAGTAACTGGCGCACATAACGTACATTTTCAACTAAACGTAGTTAACTAGAAAGAAAATAATTAATAAAAATAATATAATAACAAAATTGTCTAACGACTTCTTCGTATACATAAATGTGAATTATGAAATCTGAAAAAATTAAGCCATGTGATTTAATTTTTTTCCACACATACAGCCAGTTGTACAAATGTTTAACGTTACCCATACAAATGTTCAAATTTAGAACATTCATTAGAGCTAAAAGTCGTCATTAAACCTTAATAGACGTTAAACTGGCTGTTAATTATTCAAAGCTACATTAAAACAACATTAGCGCTTTAATATATTTTGTAATCATTGTTTCTTTTTCATTTTAACTCTGTTGCATTACAACCGTTAAAGTGTCATGAAAATATTTACAGTAGCTGTAACGTGAAGTTCGTGAATATATTTCAAATGTCGAATTGAAAGGGACTGCGTTAGATTATTAAATTAGACATTTAGGCCCCTAATTGTATGTTGTCAGCCCTGTTCACATGCAAGAAGTAATGGTGACTGGACTTCATTAATCAAATCAGTTTCTTCAATTGACTAGATGTAGGTGGGCACTTTAAATCTTCTACCTACTGTGAAGTAGTTTAAACTAGCTTTTATTATCATTAAAAAACTTTATTGCCAGTTAACAACATACTTTAACTGGATAAGCAGGAATCATAACAAATTAGGATTATAATTGAAGACTTGATGATGAAAATTGGATTATATGAAAAAGGATACAAAATTGAAATAAATGAAGAATATATAATAAAGTAGCAAGAAAAACACAATGCCAGCTTTAACCATGCAACATTATTTTTAAAACATAATAATTACTTGTCGTATAGGATTATAATTCTATTTCAAATATTGTTAAGTCCCTTTATAAGTTGTAATATATAAGAACATTAAATACAATCAATCGATCGATACATTTGGAATTTATTGTAGTTCAAAGGAGAATTCAAGGGAACAGAGAGAAGAAAAGAATGGCTACTTCATTTAAAAACAGAAACCCTTTCAATATTCGATCGCGATGAACTCGTAATGCACGTTGACCTTTGTTTAAATGTTAAAGATATAGCATCGCTTTGCTTGATAGCTTGTCTGACTGATTTGATAGCAATAATTATTTTATCTCTATGTTATTATAAGTTATATATCTAAGTCATAGCTTATCGATAATAAGCGTCACTCAATATCATATTTGAAATTGGGTCAAATATTAAAACACTAACTCGTGGTGAAAGTTCATGTCAGGTTTTCATTGGTCAAAATCTACTTTTAAAGCGTAAACATAATTTTAATTACTCTACAAGTTGTTTTATTTTTTATTTTTGAAGAAAAGCTAAAAATAGGCTTCGTACACTATTAGGCAGAGAGCATTTAGGAACAGCTACACGACGACACGAAGACTTCCTGCCGCGCTCCCGCTAATCATCGCTTCGTCTCGTAAGCTCGTATGACAAACGTATATAGTTGTAATTTATGGTTCTGTGAGTTTAAGGCAGCATTTTCGTTGAAGCAATGAATATCCCATATCGTCTCTTATTATTTTAATTAAAGATCTATACATATAAAACAGCTCCTTGCCGCATCTGTCTAATCGCGATACACTTAAAATTTGATGCTATTTAAAATCGGCAAAATAATGCTTATATTTGCTGAAATATTACGAAAGTTATTGCACATGTGTGAAGGATAGTGACAACTATGTTCTACGTATAAACTAAACCGGTAAGAATGAAATATTAAAAAAATAATAATAAACTTTATAAAGCGGCCTCTACGTACTCAAACTGATCGCGATCTTTGGTCAAGATTTCATGCTAGGGCATCCGAAAATATCCATAAGAAACTTTCTCGAACCCATTTATCTTGCAGACGCCAACTCAAAAAATTCCTGCACGCGTAGCGTGACAAACTTGAATCACCAAAATAAAAATTGAGGACCCCAGCGTTAGGGTCACTGGTTCATGTTCCTTGAATATCGATATATAGGTAATTGGCGACTTCCATAAGCATTATGATGTATCCAGTTCGGAGTTTCCATACTCTTATCAATAACTGGTCGACTGAGATAAGTATATTGTAAAAACCATAAATTGTTACGACTAGATTACGATATGATTATACGATGGTAATATTAAAACTAAACATTAACGGAAATTCCATTTATATTATTTTCATAGTTTCAAATCAACTGTAATATGCTTACGATACGATACGATTTGATTGGAAAATACAGAAGGTAGGAGGAAATATATATTATAATTCGTTTTCCGTTAATAATATCCAAAAGAATATCATTACGACTAAATCCTAAAATTTTATGTAAACACTTTCAATATTTTTACTAGTTTAAGTACCTATTTTGTATTGTTTCATTGCCAAATAACACAGTTAAATAAATAAACAAATAGTGAAACGAAACCAGGAAACAAAGAAAAAGGTTTACGGCTTATACAAAGCAACAACCTCTAAGTAACTGGGCGCCTTACATATAATTTAAGTATTTACATACTTCTCTCCAAATTCCTATTTCGTGTCACACGGTGCCATCAACATGTTTTTCCACAATTTTTGTTCCTTATTTTACTTTTAAATTGTGTTCATTTTGAATATGTAATATGTAAATGGAGAAACAGAATTTACTCAATAGTTTTATGATCCTGAACAAGAATGGCCATCCAATGGGGGTTTTGACTAAGCTGACCCGCCCGTATTAAGCCGATGTTTAGAAGGGGTCAACTCATTTATGATGAGAGATACAAAAATAAGGAATCCTAAACAATAAGTAAAAGCTGATAAAATACATTTTCTATGTATTTTGATATCCCTCTCTCACTAGCTATTACCAAATTATATTTGTGTGGGAGCAACGGTATCGAAATCGAAGACCTGCAGGCTCATTTTGCTAATGTTTCAGTATTTTAATATAATCTCACGACTTGCATTTAACTATTGTACTATCTACCTGAAGTCTAATATTATTAGTGCGATGTCTTCCTCACACATCAATGGTAACAGATATATAATAGTGGACTTCAGGTATATAATACTATGGCATAATACAAGTAGTTGAGGTTCTATTGAGATGCGATTATTACGTAAACATTAGCTTAGCAGAATTAGCCTGCAGTACTTGTGTCACAACAAGCGGTGACTTAATAGGTGACGATGAAAAAAGTGTATCTGATGTTAAGAGTATAGGCGACTTACCCGAGAATAACGAGCTCTCCATATTTGACGAGTGGCTTTGGTTTTTGTTCCGAGCCGCTCTCGCCGGCTTCCTCCAATATAGGCGAATCGGCACTGTCCGCAGCACTGCACAAACAGAAGCAAAACTATAATTAATTTTACATACCTACATAACAATAAACACTCAACACTCTAATCCTAACAACATACTTTAAGGGAAATCGATAGTAACTAAAGGTCAAATAATATCTACTGATGTTAAAGCTTTGGTTTAAGAAGTAAGTTTAAAATCCGATCGAAGTTCTTGTAGCAGTATGGTTTCTTTATCTGTTATTAAATAATACTTGATAAGCCTCTTCATGATCATTGCACAGCCTCTAATGCGTTGAAATTTTATTGGTATTCTTTGCCAGGGTTGCTCGCCAACAACCACAAAATTTTAAAACAATGATACTGATGTTTATTAGAAAAAACTGATTGAATAAGGCAATGCAAAGATCTATTTACAGGTTTTATTTTATATATGTTTGAAGTGACCTTCCATAACAGAAGATGCCACGATATTTACATATTTGTTTGCTTTTATGCTACTGGTGTCCAAAATTGTAACGCAGTAATACTAGAATGTGATAAGAATAAAATAAAAATCTGATGTTTACTAAGAAAACCGGCAGGCGTTGGTTATTAAAAATTACAAGTTTATACAATTGTTCCTCCAGATACGTCCAACTCTCCATTTCTTTTTAATAGTCCACCAAAAGCCATATTCAGAGTTATGAAATAAAGACGTCACCAAAGAACAACAGCATTTTATTTTTCTGTACAATTAGATGAATTAGATTTAGTATGCCAGCGTTGCTAACCCTATAGAGACAGCTGTAGGTCAAGATTAGTGGTAAATTATTATCGGCGGTAGTGAGAGCACGAGGGAGGGGAGGGAACGGCCGGACGGAACCGGTCGCGTTCGATGCACTCCGGCTAATGGTAGCTCTTGAGCCATGCGGCCCATCATGACTGTAGAAAGTATACAGCAAGGGAAGAAATAAACGGGAATATCTGGACTTAGTAATGATTATTCAGAAAATATCGTTTCGTTAACAAGCATAACATCTAAATTTCACTTTTTTCAGAGTTCAAGAAAAAAAAATCCATATTTCTGACTAGCTTAATTTGGAACATCTCGGGCAAATTTCTGTCCTCTCATCTCTCTCATCATCATTCTGAATACTATTTTCGTTCATTATATTTTCATGTATGGTCGACTTAATGACGTGAATTTTAATGACGTAAATGACTCCTTCGTGTAGCCGGCACAGGTGGCCTAATTCATCAACATAAATTACGATGAGCTACCTGCACTATTTCATATTCTTAAATAAAATATACTGTCGCTTTATTTATTATTGAAGATAAAACTATTCCACTAAAATAGATAAGTACTTATAGAATATATATTGATACACCAAATACGCAAAACTTGTTTACGAATGTCGTGAAATATCTCAATACCCCGAAAGTCATCTGGCGCGAATATACTCGTAATATTTAGTCAAATTAAATATATATGATGTGTATTTTATGAGATATTAATGCTCATAAAATACACTATCAAAAATGCAATATCAAAAATGCTCCTAGAGCAACATGCTGAACTCAATGATATGAAAGCAGAAACAGCATACTGAAATAGAAACGCCAGAAATAATAAAAAATAATAAAAGAAAACCTTTTACAATGAAGACGATTCTTACAGTAGGCATTTCACCGCCGATAAAATTGCGGGTAACCAGCGGTGAGTAGAAAACATTATTTTTAAAGTAACATCCTACGTAAAATCCCACTACAAACATTATCTATCAGAGATAATCAACACAAACGTAAAACTTTATTAAAGTAAAAACCGGTTTACAATCAACTACCTACTAACAAATGTAACCTTGGCACAAAATTATGTAATAACTTTCGATTTACAACTTAATCCAACAAGTGCAATGTTTCAATAAAAAAATAAACAAATTACAAAGAATTTAAGTAATGTGTTTTGGAAATTATTTCCATACACGAGTGTAACGATACTCCGTGGACTGGAGGCTCTTCTGAAGGTTCTTGTATTTGGCCTCATCGGTGTGGTTTAATTGAAAGACAAACACGTTGACCTTATTTAGTCGCTTATTGCTGAAAGATATTTATAGCGACGTTTCAATGTATTGGAAGTCTTTGATTTTTACAATAATTGGCAACTGTAAATAATGAATTCTTGCAGCAACACAATGTTGTTAATTGATTCCGATTCTGACATTTAATACGTTGAATGACATGGAATTGGATAAGTATGTTAAAGAATACTGGAGATGATATGGCTATGACCATGATGACCTACTCGAAACAAACATCATAATAACATTATTATCGATTTATATTGAATGTAAAACATTACGGTTCTGTGTTCTGTCTAATAGTTTATGTTTGTTTGGATAAGTGCAATAACAATCTTGGGTTGTCATTTGAATTACATAACTTCCTTGACAAAAAATGCTCCAAGCGATTTGCCTTCGATTTGTTCCGAAACTTAAACCAGAACTAACGTTTGATGCCACGTAGATTTGCACGAACCTATATAGCTTGATGGCAATATGTAGTCGTTAGACGAGGCTAGAGTGCCTTATTGATCGATGCGATAGCTTATCAGAGCCTCTAATGTGAACTAGGACACTGGTTATGGACACGCCACTGCTTCTAGTGCCTGATATCACCATAATCGACGATTTTGTTGATAATAAAACCTTAAAATAAGTAAAAAAATATGAACTTAATTCAAAAATAAGATTTCAGTTTGCCTTGGCTAAATATTAATAAACAAGAAATTATCATTATTTTAATAAAAGCCTTTTTAAGAGACTTATCCACAGCTGTGTCCATAGTATAAAAATTTAGATCTGAAAGGAGTAATTAAAAATCGGAAGCATTTGCTCGGCATTATCATTAAATGATGGGGTTTCTGCCCGGAGCGTGGGCATGAATAAAAGAACACTTCAAAGTGGATGTGGGCTAGCGGTGATGGCCTGTCGGCCGTGTGATTACGAGCAAAGGGTCAAAGCCCTTCACAACAGTCGTCACAGTAACTTCACCGTACAAGAGGGCTGAGGTCCGCTACCATTAATTATATTCCATTCCTAACATTTTTTATTTTCTTTAAAAAAAGAGAACAGAAACTTGAAAATGTTTTTTTCTTTTTTAAAATCAAACATAAAATCGATGAACGAGTCAAATAAATATAGTTGATATCACAATATTTCTAAGCATCGGAAAATAATGGCCGCAGATGGCGGAGTTTAATTGTATTTTAAATACTTTTTAATGTTGGTTACAATATGTCGAGTGCATTGGCCATTGGACGCATATTTATACAAATAGTACAAGTTAAAATATAAAACTTAAGGTTTTTATTACACACAGGGATTCAGCGTAAAAATATAATAAAAAGTCTTAGTGATAGTTCCCCGTTATACCCTTTGGGGATGGAACCATAAAAAGAACATAATTATTAAGAACAAAAGTCTTTCAGAGGCGGCTGGCAAGTTCATACAATTTTGTATCCACTATTTCAACAAAGATAAGATACTTAAAGATCCTACACAAAAATAATATTATAGGTAATCAAGTACTTAATGATATTACACGATATAATGAAGACATCGAGTTTAATTCTGTTCAAAAATATCGTTATAATTTTTACTTAGTACAGAACAATAATGACTAAAAATTCTCTCTCACAAAATAAACCTTTATTGCCACTACAAGTACGGCAACCGTCTATTTTGATAATTATTGAACTACTACAAATGGAATTTACTCAGAAATATTCCTAGCAAAAATGTAGCGCTACTCATCACCTAGCTAAACTCAAATGTAAAATGGCATTTTTTACTAATTTTACGATACAATCGTCTCTCGTCTCGCCCATCGTCTGGGTTACTGCGACATTTGTTCACGACGGTTACAAGGAAAACTGTGTTTAAGTAGGCGTGTGATTCTAAGAAGTACTACGGCACCACGTCATAAAGGGTGACTGATCGAGTGATAACTTGAGCAAACTAAACACGTTGCGGTTTCGGCAAAAAAAAACACAAACCACGCTGCGTCCGGTTTGTCGCAGGTCGCCAAATGTGGGAACCTACACGAAAGACAGAAGTGGCGTTGTGCTTGTGACTGTTACATGATGTGCGTTTCATTATCTATATCAGACACAATATCTACGTATCATAAATTATAAAAATTAAATTTTGTACCTTGGTAAACGTATATTTAATCATTCGGCATTCAACAACGATAATCCAAGTTACTGAGATTTGGGGACAGACAATCATTAAGAAAGAAGCTTTTCTGCAAAATATCCTTGGGTAATGAAAAAGTATTTAATAAGGAGATCCGATAAAACGTCGCGCTACAACAACTATCTCTACAAATATAGACTCTAGATGTTGATATAGCTAGATATAGATCGACAGTCATACCGGGGTCCCCAGAAATGGCGATGTTCGATGCGGAATGCAAGATACTCGGCATTGTGAGGTTATCGAAGGGATATTATATTAATCAGAAATGTTTCTCCTGGTATTACTAAGATAATATTTTAGAAAATTCAAAGAAAACTAAATGTACTCATAGTGTAGAATCTTATTATTTAATATAATAAGTGATTGACTAGTCACCAAACGTAACACTACAACTAAAACTAAAATAACTCGTGAAATAATCATTTTCAATATATTGGTATCCATAGTAATTTTTTTAGTGAAATAAACTTGAAGCCGCAGAAATCAATGTTCAATATTCAAATTCGGACTCACTCAATTCGTTACATCAATTACCATAAAAAAATATGAGCAAACGAATATACAACATGAAATATGCTACGAATGAAGTAATTGTTATAAAACAATAAAAAGCTATGATGTAATATAAAATCCCTAGCACTTTCACCATTCACACGGCCGACAATCCCATACTCCCGTGGACGCTTTCTATCTCACTCGGCTGGCCTTTTCCGTTCATTTCGCGGCCAATTGGCGGCGTAAACAATTCTGACAGCAGCTTAGAAATTACTGAAACAAAGTAGAACCTTT